CCCCTTGCACCCTCCCCCTAGATCCGCCCCTGACAGGTGCACATTGTGTATGGCAGTAAAAGCACTACAGTAAGTAATCATGACTTCAGCACAGAATTGACCTTAAGCAGCAATATCCGTGAGACATAGCTCTTTTAAGTCTAATGTTCACTTGTTCAGCACTGTCAAACTCTCCAATTTATTGTCAGTGGTTAGCAGTTACATGACAGTGTGATGTTTGGTTTTATGCTGCAGTTAACTGCCTTGGTACTTCATAGTGGTAGTAGTTATACTTTCTGAACGCGGTTACAAGAAGTGGGTGGGACTGTTTTGCTACCTAACAAGATCACACAGTTCTTCAGTTGTTACATTTCCTCCAGTGACCATGACAACTACATTGCTTCCAGGCAATAAATCTGGTATTTTGTCTGATTGTAAGGCTGCAAAAGCTGCAGCTCCTGAGGGCTCAACAACAAGACCAGCTTGGTAAAATGTCTTTACAGCCCTGCGTAAAAAGAAAGGTTTTAAAAAATTAACTGTTGTTACTGAGAAATGTCATGTGAAAATTCATTTTGGATGCTTAAGTACAATCAACGGTGTTCTTGACAGGCAGACTGCAACCAGAGGAGGACTTATTCCAAATTTTTGAGCAAATTGTTACTATACGAGTGAAGAAACTTTAGCAATACAAAATAATGGGGAAGTGTCAAGGCAAATTTTTTGTACATCGGAAATCACCTCCAGTTAGTCATACCCATGTCACTTAAAATAGCCATTATTCATAACCTTCTTATCTAAGTAAGCCTAGATGTTACAAGAAAAATTTCACTTAACTTCTTCTCCGCCCACAGTGTAACACCATAGGATATTTTTGGGGGGAGGGGAGTAAAATCAACTTCACAAATTATAGGAAAGGCCTGAACCAACAGCATAAAATACAATAATTATTTTATTTGAGAGAAAGAGTATGTGTTGCACAGATGTTTCTGGAATTACACAGTTGAATTTTGATAATGTTTTGCAGCTGTCTTTCCTTCAAATTCAACAGAATGAAAAATTAAGACTCTATATGGAAAAACAGATTTTATATTATATATGGTTATCAGTGTACTGACCTCTTGATCTCATCATCTGTGACTAAAATAACATCTTCTACAAATTCTTGCACATGCTGAAAAGTAATTTTTCCTGTTGAGAAAAAAGTAACAAACCATCAAGTTCTCTGCAGGTTGGCACTTTGCCTGGACAAGTACATTGTGATCCCCACTCTTCTTGCCAGCTTGCTGGTCTCTTTCACAACAGACATTGTGATATATTCTCACTGGGGCCATCCACAAACAATGCCTGTAATGCTAGTCAGATATGGGAGACCAGTTCCAGAGGCGGTAGGAGCAGGAAGCTCCTGGTAGTGTTATCTGAGGAACTTCCAGTCATGCATGGCGTGCCACAGGGTAGCATTCTAGGGCCTCTGTTGTTTGTGATTTACATAAATAATTTGCCAAATGTGCTTAACTCCTGCTACGCGTCACTTTATGCAGACGACACTGTAATTTATTGCTATATCAGGTACATCCTCAAAGGAGTTGAGTGATAAGTTGGGTGTGGCAAAATGGCTTCATGATCACAAACTGACTTTAAATTTGGACAAAACTAAATGCATGCTTATCAGTAGTAATAGGAAACGCGAAAGCAAAGTAGATTTGACTGTTTTAATTTTAGATCATAGTATAAGTAATGTTCGCAGCTTTAAATACCTCGGTATACATATATCTTCGGATTTCACATGGACTGACCATATTGAACACCTAACTGGGAAAATCAATCAGAGGCTTGGGCTTCTCAAGCGTATAAAGCATTTATTGCCTTTCAGGGCGCGTCTACTTTTCTATAAAAGTCTTGTTATGCCCCTTTTTGAATATGCTGATCTAGTATGGGGCGATAAACATAATATTACCCTTATGTCTAGTTTGCAAGTTTTGCAAAATAAGGCCGTTAAGTTATTTTAAATAGACCATTGTACTCATCCTCCACTGAGGCATTAGTCGTTCTCAAGTGGCTGCCTCTAGAGAAAAAGCGATTTCAAAGAAGGTGTGTACACGTATACAAATGCATCAATGGCCTAATTAATCACGATATGGACTTGATTACACAAGACATACTTCATAGGCATAATACACGTAACAAAGGCAATTTTAGATTACCACGTGTCAAAAGAAATTGGGGGAAGCAAAGAACACAATATCATGCCGTTTCCGATTTTAACTCCCTCAGTCAGACGATCAAAGACTCAAGGAATGTAAATAGTTTTAAACGTAATGTTTTTAAGTTTTTAATATAGCTACTTACGTTTAATTTTTACTTATACTTATTTTTAATTTTTATGTATTTTTTGTATCTTTTTAATCCCTTTGCAATTTTATAGCTTTTTTTTGTTTTTATAATATATATCTCGTTTTGAGGTCCTTTTTGAAAACCATATCTTTTATGAAAAAGTTTCCTCAATAAAGATGATTATTATTGTTTCTTAGTGAATTTAAATAGTTCATAACTGCGAGGAGGTGGGCGGGGCAGGTAAAGAAGTGTACAGAACACTGAAAAGACTGAGCACGCTACTGGGAAGGGAAACTGTCCTTAAATATTAGAAACGCACAATGCACAGACATTTCTAGGTAGCAATGGGCTATATGCGGGGTGCTAGTGTTACATAATATAGTTTGAGCTATTTTATTGCAGAGTCCCCAGAAATTATGTTCACCGTCTTCCTTACCTGCATAAGGTGGAGCAAGTCCTGAGGCGATGGTGTTTACTGATTTCACACTGACAGAATGACCTTGCTGTTTACTCAGATACATAGTAGGTGCTGCAAATTTAATATATTTTAAAAGCTTATTAATTTTTTCTTTGTCATTATCTCACCATTGTACATCTGCATTCAATAATTTTTTTTTTTCGAAAATCCCAGATCTTTTTAAACTGATGGTTCCAGAAGTTACCGGCAATTATAACCCTACTGAAATGGGGGATAGGGCTTGACTTCTAATTCACCCACCTCCTTCAGGTTCCACAGCAAATATTCTTGTTGCTTTACTTCCCTTAAGTTTTATGCTTGCCGCAACACCAGAGACTAGGCCACCTCCTCCACAACACACAATCACTACATCAGGATTTGGAATTTCTTCTAATATCTCGACACCAGCACTAGCAATTGAATAAGGAGAATACTCATTGCAGGCTATTCCAGTAGCGATTAAACCTCATCAAATAATATAAGAGACAAACAGATGACTCGGGACAAGTTGTACTTAAATGGGACATTGCGCATTTTGAACAAATTTGACACATTGAAATTAAAAAGGGTTGATCAGAAGAAAAGGTAGCTTTGTAGACACAACGTTAAGTGGTGCCAGCTGGAGTAAAGCTCTTAAGTGGCTTCTGATAAACTGATAAAAAAAATGTAATTCCAGTGCACTTCATATTATGCTTGTGGATGAGATGGAGAATTTGAAATTAGATCAAGAGTCAATTGTCACCTTAATTTCAGCATTGCACTCATAAATATCATTCAAGGCTAAGCTATAAAAAAAAATTGTAAGGTCAGCTCTGCAAATATGCTCTATGAATCTGTGAGATCAGTATGGTGCCCAGTGTATGATTTATATCTAAAAAAAAGACTTTCTAGTCACCTGTACGCAAAAGTTGTGTGCCAGGGGCCACCAGGCAGGTTTTGTCCTCTAGAATCTAGTCAAGAGGATTGGAAATGTGTGCAGGCACTGTAAGAGCTCAGCCTTGATTATGATAATTCGATTATGCAAAGTTTATAACTATAATATTGGGCTGATCAAGGTTCTGGGAGACATGTGGCACAAAGTCACATACCCATCAAAAGCTCACCCAACTGCCCACCGCTCCCTCCATCTCCCTCCCTCATTTTATTGCCAGAAATAATGTGTTACCTTCCATAGCCTGCGATAAGATTAAGGTCATCAAAGGAGTGAAGGAAATACATGCCATCATCACTGACATGGCGATCAACAGCAGCTTGTAAATTGCATGATGGCATTCTTTCCACTGTCACACCAAGACTCTGCAAATCAGCTTTGAATTGTTAGAAACGAATATAGTTATTTCAGGTTAGCCGTAAGATAATCACTATCCACAGCTTTACTGCATGCAATATGTTGACAGTAATTATGCCTATAAATGACACGAGTTGTTGACTGTATATTAATGCAAATCAAACCTTATACAAATGTCTTGGGACTGTAGATTTAAAGGTACAACTTGGGTCAATATTTATTGTAGGCTTCTTGTAAGTTCAAGTTGCATGTGATTAAGTTTTAATATCATAAGATATCAATCAAGAGACAGTTAATTTGCCTTTAGAAACTTGAGAAAAGTAAAGAAATACCTCAATTAGCGTTACTCTGTTCACAGGTGCTGTCTCTGGCATACACAGCGTCGCTGGTAAGTTCTGTTTCTTTGTAGCAATAGCAAATGCCTTGCCATAATTCCCAGCTGAGATGGACACAAGGTTTCTCCTGCTGCCAATGACTTCAGCAGGGATGTGGGCAAACTGGTTGACAATGCCACGGGTTTTAAATGAACCTAACACAAAAAAGGTTTATAAGCTACCCTAAACTTTCCCTTATAAGCCCCCATCCCCCTACTTACACAGGAAAAAATAACGGATTCCCATTTTTGGATATTTTGGGGTATTTTAAGAATACCCACAAAAATCCCAAATTTGGCAAAGTGAGACAAGTCCCAACCAGGGAATTCCCAACCAAGTTCCCAGATTGGGACTTGTCTCACTCTTCCAAATTTGGGATTTTTGTGGGTATTTTTTAAATACCCAAAAATATCCAAAAATGGGAATCGGTTATTTTTCCCTGTGTTACAGGCCCCCACCCAGTTATAGGCCCACTTACGGGCAACAAAAAAAATTCATCTGGTCAAAGGCGACATAAGACTAGATGAAATGGATAGATAACGTATCTCCTTGAATAGTAGCCATCCCTCGATTAAGTGCCTCCCTTGAGCCTTGAATTGTCACCCCCCGTTAATAGAAATATTTAAAATAATCGCCTCCCTCGAATAATTGCCCTCACCCTCTTGCAGGGATACCCATATATAGCGGTATGTAAATCTGGAGGCTGAAAATGAAGTGGAGTCTGATCGGGCAAAAACTGATCGGTAACAATTCAAGCTTTGACGCCAAGGATATTGGAAATGAAAATTAATCTAATCTTGGAACACCATAAGCCCATGTTCAGTTTATTTGATGTGATTATTTTTTGATATAATGGGATAATAGAACAAAAACAATACTTAGGGCACGACTTCCAGTGAGCAATATTTGAAATAATCGCCTCCCTCGATTAATCGCCGCCTGTTGGGGCGAAGGGAAAAATAATTGCCCCTGCTATTTTTTGAGGAAATAATTATGGTACGTTAAAATATTATACAGAGAGAGACATGACCTACATTCCTGAAAACGCAAAACCATCGTATTTGAAATTCATACTAGAGACATACCGTACGTAACCGAACCCCCACCCTAAGAGGGACTTTCTCCAATTAATTCAGGTATTCAGACTGAGCCCTTGGTGTAGAAAGACGGAACCTTGTTTTAACATTCATCTCTTGAGAATTACAGTTCGAGTTACATCAGGAAATTCGAAGCCCTTCTAAATGTCGACACAAACCATTACACATACCAAGATAATCAGTGGTTTTATAGCTTATCAACATCGGTAAATTTCACTCGATGTTTTATACTGTGTTTAAGTAATAAATTATACCTGTATTCTGCATGTTTTCCATCTTCAAATGCAGCTTAAATTGGTCCCCAAGACCCATCATGTTTTGCACATTTTGTAAAAGTGGAGTCCTGTAAACCATAGGACTTTTTTTGATTATTTCAATGGCATTTTCAATGTCTTGCAATGAAACGAGAGCGGCCATGATGGGTAGTAACCAGAGGCGGGAGAATGGTACTAGCACAGGACAGATGCACAGCTCTCCCAATAAAACGAAATGGAGTGGATTGGATTGGACTAGACTAGACTGAACTGGACTACAAACCTGTACTTTTTCTGATTTAAATGTGCTGTGGCATTTATATAAAAAAAATATTTTGCAAAGTGTGATAAAGAAATTTACACCCAAAATTACAAAACAAAAGCCCTACACATTTCCATAGCTTGCGTAGCAGGCGCTTAGAAGTAGTGGGCATTAGAAAAAACGGGTGCGCGAGAAGTAGACACGCGTGTCTACCTCACACGCACCCATTCTCTCGTTCGCCCACTACTTCCAAGCACCTGCTACGCAAGCTAACATTTCCATGATATAAAAAGATGAGCCAGATGTTTTACTTAGCCTTTTTTATTACACAGCACAGTAACATGACCGAAATATGTAAAATAAGTTATATCAAACTGGGTTAAAACACAGACCCGATTCACCTTCTTAAAATACCTCAAAAATAAAATGTTTACATTTCACACTAGCATTAAATAATTTTATGTGCAATTTACACAACTTATTTCAACAATAATTGTTGAATAATTATTGATAAATATATTAATTTTGGTCCAAGGTTTTGTACTTCACTGAAAATATTTTATCAATAATACACTGTTTCTCTTTACAGATTAGATATGGGTAAGTATGCTTGCCATGTAGTTTTGAAAGACAACCATGATTTCCCAGATGTAATACCATCACCATTCTTCCCAGAGGCCTAGCTTTTTCTTAGGGGGTAAAAGGCAATCCTCCTCTAAAGCTATGTGCACAGGTAATTTACCCATGCATACCCGTATAAGGAAAGCGTACATCTTAAGGTCTCTAATAATATTACTTTAGCTACCTGACAGACTCAACCTTATTCTCAGTGCATAATAGATGCAAAACTTAGCTTTCTTTTGATTAATAGCCTATTTTTCAAACTGGTAATAAAAATATTGAAGTCTGACAAGCATCCCTATCCATTCATATTGGGATTTCCCCCAACCATTAACGGACTTTTCATATTATCTGCTTGTTATTTCAAGATGTTAATAGTCCATATACAGCCAACCCTTCCCCTCAAACAAAATCAGCAAGATTTTGTTTGATAGGAGGGGGCAGCTGTTTACAGACTAGAGGCTCTGACACAAAAAAGTGCACTACTGTTCAAGTCATTAATCAAAGTTCCCATTCGCCATCACTTGAATCACTATCATATTCCTCTATGCTGCTTAAAGTATCCTGCAGTACTTTTGCTCTGCTATGCATCACTTGAGCAAGTGCAGCAAAAANAAGATGTTAATAGTCCATATACAGCCAACCCTTCCCCTCAAACAAAATCAGCAAGATTTTGTTTGATAGGAGGGGGCAGCTGTTTACAGACTAGAGGCTCTGACACAAAAAAGTGCACTACTGTTCAAGTCATTAATCAAAGTTCCCATTCGCCATCACTTGAATCACTATCATATTCCTCTATGCTGCTTAAAGTATCCTGCAGTACTTTTGCTCTGCTATGCATCACTTGAGCAAGTGCAGCAAAAAGACTGTCAGCATCTACACACTCTTGGACATCATTAACTTGCATGCTATCTTTTTCACTTTCTACTGATTGTAGGATATCTTCGGGCAGGCCTTCATTTGCGCTGGGATTACCCTGAAGCTGACAAGGAATAGTCTGTCCTGGAAATCCAGATAATTTTCTTAGTTTTTCTTTATTGAATTGTCTTATTTGGCTAAGAAAAGATTCTCTGCTGTTTTCTTGTGGAGGAGGGAACAGGTTTGTAGCTGGAGGCAAACAATCATCTGATGAATATGGCATATCTTTTGAAGCATTTATTTGTGGACAATCTCCTAAACTCCTGAGATTTGCCTGATTAAACTGTTGAATAAATCTGCCATTACTACTAGCTGTGGACTGGCTTGAAGAAGAAGGCGAAGTGTTATCTTGAGTTTCTTCAATAACAGTTTCTGGTTTGTTTCTTTGTTGCACAATACTTGAATGTGAATCATGTTCTCCCATCTGGCCAACATCCTGAAACATGTCTGCATCATCAGTGTTAATATCTTCACAATCAATAATTTCCATGGTGACCACTGGTTTTTGTACAGAAGAGGAGCTCTGTAACTGTTGTCGTTCAGGTTTTCCCTCATCTCTGTTACTGGCATGCTGTGAATCTTGACTGCTGTGGGTACCCTGTGGTTGTTGCTGTTGTCCTATAGAGGAGCTTTCTTCTTCTTGAAAAATGGTGTCTTGTACTTCCTGATTGCAGTGGGTGTGCTGTAGTTCTTCACGACATCCCACTGGGACTCCTGGTTCCACTTTCCCTCTCGCTAATACCCTGTGCCTAGATGGCACTTCAGGGGTGTAGGGAGGAGGAGGTAAACAATCCAAGGTCAACACATGCAGAGGGAGCTGTGAAGGTGATTCAGCCACCCCATGGCTTCCATGTGGGTACCCAGGAGGACGGAACTGTTCAATAGATGGACTCTGTGGAGGAGTGGCTTCATGTGGCCTTGTACAGTAAGTTCTGAGGGGTGTTGGTTGGACATTAGTGGCTTGCTGTCCTGATGATCTTTGTTTACGACCACACATCAAGGAAAATTGCACAGAAAGTCCGGATGTTATGACAAGTCTCACAACTTGAACATGTGTCAAATCCTTGGTGCTGAGGCCATTTATCTGTGAAAATTCAAGACAAAAGAACCATATTAAAATATTAGTTTTGATAAGTGGATGAGTCCATGAGAGCATCTTTCAATCTCATTTCACATTATATACATTTTCCCTCAGGCTTTGTTTCATCCACTTATTTAATTTTTAAAAAAGAACAAACAGAACAAATCTGACTTGAACCCTGTAAAATTAACTACCAGAGTTGCAGTCTTTCTTGGGGCCACAAGCTAGTGTCCTTCATGGTGAGAATCTAGGCTTGTCGCTAGGCCTCATTATTCTGGGTGATCAAAAAGGCCTCAGAAGATGTCATACAGGGACTAGGCAAGTGGGATTCTATAACAGCAGGGCTGGAGTCTAATCTATTTTAAACTTCTATTTCATTTATCATAATTATCTTATTTATTTTTGCTGGGGATTCAGGTAGGATATTGGCTATCTTTCAGCAAGCAATCTTATTAAAACATTGGAAACTGGTATGGGTCTGTACAGTCTGTAAGACTAAAAATTACAGCATTGGGAAATACTCACCTTGACTATCATATCTCCTGGCTTTATGCCAGCCCTCTCTGCTGGGGATCTAGTATCAACTGAGATAACATGTACATCACAGGCATAATCAGTGCCACTAGAAAATAAAATATAAAGACATGTTCAGAACATGTCACTGGCTTAAAAAAACCTCTGAATATTAAAACCATTAAGCATATGATCATTTGGAAGCATGGAGTGGAGTACTCCTAGGCAGTAGGGGGCACTCCCTTATTTGGCCTAGACGGGCGTATGTGCTGCTGAATAGAGTATCTGTGAGGCCCTTCCAGGGTAAATTCCGACAAGCGACGTGGCCCAAAAAGTAGCATAAAATAAAATCGCGACAAGAGACAACCTCCCTTGGCCAAATTGCGACAGTGACGGCAAAGCTGACAAGAAGCGACAAGCATTTACCGACACAAGAAGTTTTAAAATTCAGACGGCAGACATGGAACCCCCCACCCCTGGCAGGGCCTCATCTTTATGGTTAGATTTTGTGTTCTTTCATGAATAAATTAAAAATATGTTACAGATATTTTTTTCCCACAGATAGAAATTAAGAGGGGTGGGAAAAGCCCTATGGACATGGTTGTGGCTACACACAGTTTAATAAGCTACCTAAAAGTCAGAGAACCAGCTAATTCCCAAAGGTTAAGAGGGGAGGGGATGGTGATATTTTATTAAACTGGTACACATACCCCCTGATACAGCACCCAAGCCATCCATCTTCCCCCGGATAAACAGTAACAGTTGACAACAGCTCATCTTGTTGCTTCCTTCTTTCTCTTCCATTTGCTTCACCAACATCTTCAGCCCTACGGACGTCTTCGCAGAAATTTTGCACAGGAGTAATTCGTATCTGGAGAACCTTTGAGGCCTTGATTTTTCGAATAAGCTCATTCATGTTCATACCGTTTTTCCCGCAACGTTTCTCGTTTACGCTAACAATCTTATCCCTATAATTTAATCCTTGTTGGTCAGCAATAGAGCCTTGTTTTACTTCCGCGACGGTTATTGATGGCTCACGAGAATTTCCACCGCGTATCCTGAATCCAAAACCTTGTTTCAAAGAATTTCTTTCAAGGACAATAATCTT